TACTTAGTTTGTTCACAATATTTTATTATCCTTTTGATAGCTATAGTATTTATAATGATGTCACTCTTTCACTGTTTTTTTTTTTTTTTTTTTTTGTCTTTGGGGGTTTTCTTTGGGGGGAGTGGCTTGCCTTGTTACTAGCAGGCAATGGTGTCATCGAAGCTCACTGCAATCTCAAACATGTGGGCTCAGGCAATCCTCTTGCCTCAGCCTCCCAAGTAGCTGGGATTACAGGTGTGTGCCACCATGCCTAGCTAATTTTTCTATTTTCTTTTTGAGATGGATCTTGCCATGTTGCCCATGCTGGTCTCAAACTTCTGCCTTGGCCCCCCCTCAAAATGCTTGGATTACAGATGTGTGCCACCACACCCATCCAGGCTTATTTTATAAAACATAACTTTGAACAAAAACTATTTCAAATTAACAGTAATGATAATTTCCAACAAAGCTTATTATCTACATTTTAAAAATCAAAGGAAATATTTTAGAATTTTCAAAATTTTGTAATTTAAGAGGCCCGTAACTTACATTTAAACAAATGAAGAAGAACATAAGTCACATAAACAGTACTCCCAAGTCTTCATCAATAATCCAATATAAGCTCTAAATTAGTCTCTCTTACCTTTTATTTCCAATAAGCATAATAACCATGTTGGAATTGGAATGCTGGCGAGCATCTTCTAACCAGGTTGTCAAATGGTTGAATGTATCTCTCCTAAACATAAAAATTAATCAGATTACTATTTTCAAATCATTTCTCCCAGTTTTGTACATGAACAGTATACATAGTAAAAGGCACCAGTGTCAGCCATATATGTAAGGAGAAACAGATGACAAGTACAATACCTGGGTTTAAACTTTACTGATTACAGTTCAGTTTATAAATTAAATGTAACAATACTTTAGAAAATTCCAATGAATAAATAAATATAAATTGATCAATTTGGGGTGCTTATTTAAATTTTAAAAAATTCAGTCACAGATTTTTGTAGTATATTTAAATTTGTTTTAAGACATACAATTTTAAAGACCAGGTCATGAAAACAAAGCTATTCTTTTATTACTGATAACAATAATTATTTAGAAAAATTCTCTGTATTGACTACTTAAGTAGAAAGATCCCGAGTTCTCACCTTGTAATATCATACACTAGTAAAGCCCCTGCTGCACCTCTGTAGTATGACCTTGTAATGGAACGAAATGACTCTTGCCCTGCCTGTGAAGAAAGGAAAGGTTGAGAGAGTTTTTAATACAATATCCTCTATATTTTCATGTTATTCTTTATAGAATATGGGCAGGTAGGAGAGGAGCACATAAAGGGAAGAAAGAAAACTTAACTTCACCAGTCACATAATACCACTGTTGCTCAAGTCAACCAGACATACATGTAGCCACTCCTGCACCCCACCCACCCACCCACCTAAGACCTCTAAAACCTTTTTGGCAATCCCTGACAACCCAATTTACTGAATGGCTTCACAATACATGAATCATTATTAGAGGACAGAATGGACTCCTAGCAACTAAGCTCTGAAGACAAATTTGAAAGAAAGCAAATAACCCAGAGCCTCACATTTGAATTCAATAACCCACTCCCTGGGGCAGCTGTTGACACTAGAATAAATAAAGCCCATTGTAAATAAATGATGAATGACATCTTTACGCCCACCATCTGCTGGTGTAAAGGTTGTTGGAAGGCCAAAGATGCAGATTTTCTCAGTTATATCATAAACTGCAGCAAGCCTTCAAAAGTCATCACATGGAATTCTTTGAGCAATCATTTTATTATGAAAAACAGAAAATGGTTCTAAATTTAATTTATATGATTTTTTTCACCACACTTAATCAATTTTCTCTGTATTTGATACATAATGCTTGTCAAAAGGCAACAGGATGTAAAAGTCATGTTTATATCCACTGTGAAACAGACACGAGAGATTAAGCAAAAGTAGGTAATTTTTCTCTTTTATTTGTGGTACTAAATATTCTATTTTTAAAGAATGGCCAGTGAGAAATACAACTATTGTCTCTACATTTAAAACTGAGACAGCTCTTATCAAGTTTCTTTTCATTTTTAATCATTTCTTTTCTATTACAGTGCTTTGAGAAAAATAAGTCGATCATATAAAGTAAACATAAAGCCTGTTTTAACAAATTTTATATTCAAAATCTACTAACTTGAAAACTATTCAAGATTCCTTGTTGTAAGTTTTGCTCTTCCAGTGTAAACATTTAGCCCATCCTACCTACAGAATGCACACAGACAGCCTATGTTCTGTCCTGTGCTAACACTCCACACTCCATAATGCTTTTTACTTCATTGCTCCTTCCTCTATACGTCCTCCCTCCTATTCTTCCCACCCCCAGTATCCAGGGCTGGGTTTGGCACACAGCAGGCGTTCAGAGAAAGCCTGTTGAATGAAAGAATACATCCTAATGTCTAAGTCCTGTGCATGAAAAGGTTAGTACTCTACCCCAACAGAGTGGACAGCTGTAAATTCTAACATGCTAAGATTCAATGAAAATATTAATAACTTCTCCTATGAGCACACTAACAATTCGATCTCTTAGTAACCAATTTTGACACAGAAAATATCTTATGCTTAGTTAGAAACTGACAAGAGCGTCATACAAAAGAGCTGTAAAAATAGCTTAATTATTTCAAATTGTATAGTTTGGGGTTTAAAAACCAGAAGCTAGAATTAAAAGCATGACATTGTGGCTCGGCACCTGTGGCTCAAGCAGCCTGGGTGCCAACCACATGCACCGGAGCTCACAGGTTCGAATCTAGCCTGTGTCTGCCAAGCAATGGTGATGGCTACAAACAAAGAAACAAACAAAATAGCTGGGTGATGTGGCAGGCGCCTATAGTCCCAGCTACTTGGGAAGCTGAGGCAAGAGAATCGCTTAAGCCCAGGAGTTGGAGGTTGCTGTGAGCTGTGATGCCACAGCACTCTACCCAGGGTGACAGCTTGACGCTCGATCTCAAAAAAAAAAAGGCATGACATTGATATATCTTTCCAAAAAAGTCTTTTAAAATCCAAAGTTAAAAATGGAAGAATTATAGAATAACTTCTTTAATTGCTTAGCATGGGAAAACTAAGGACTAGATCTTTAAGGGATTCACTTCATTGGGAATCACATGTACCAAGAAAGGATTCTGTAGTAAATATATTAGCTGTCCCTTATTTGTGGTTCTGCTTCCCACAGTTTCAATTACCTGTGGCCAATCATAGTGTGAAAACCTTAAATGAAAGGTCTAGAAATTAAAATATCCTAAGTTTTAAATTGAACACCATTCTTAGCAGCAAGATGAAATCTTGTGCATCCTGCTGAGGGGTATCCGTTATCCAAAATGCTTGAGACCAGCAATACTTCAGATTCTTTTGGATTCTGAAATATTTGCAATTTACTGATTGAGTATCCCTAATCTGAAAATCAGGAAATCCAGAAATCTGAAATACAATGAGCATTTCCAATGAGCATCATGTTAGAGCTCAAAAAATTTTGAATTTTTATGTTAGGTATGTTCAAAGTATAGCATCTTGGTTATCAGAACAAACCTAAGTATATAAATGAAGGGTTCTGTGCTATTCTCAATTTCAGGCATCCAGTTGGGGGTCTTGGAAAGTATCCCTACAGATAAGAAGGGACTATTATAATGTAAAAAAGATGAACATTTTATTAGTTCAAAATAAAAATCAGGTTCAGGGCTCTTACATCTCCCATGGTTAACCAATGAGCAAAGGTAAAGTTTTTAAAAACAATCTGGCTAGTATATTTTGTAGGATAAATTAAAATGAACACGTTGCTAATGTGAGACCTAAAACTTCCATGTTTACAGCCAAGATAAAATACAATAAAAGAGTAAAGAAAAAATAAATTTAAGAAATGGAGAAAAGCAAATTTCTATAATCATTCTCATACTTCTCAAATTGTTTAGCAGAGAACAAAAAACATATTTCCAACATGGAAATAACTTACACAATGTATCACTTTATACTGAATCCATTGAATCTGGATTTTTGCCATTATGAAATCAAATAAAAATCCACACATATTCGAAATGAAGACTATGAATGAAGCTGTATGCATCTTAAAATCTATGATTATTTTATAATAAAGATCAGTATACAGAACAGTTTCTTGGGACCCCATTTGTATGAAAACCATCACTAACTCTGGCCTAGTCTTTGTGGTTATGATACTGATAGCCTTGAAAAAAATGTTGCCCAGTGAAGTGTTTTATTATGGCTTTTCTAACTAAACATAAACTGTTACACAACAACTAACTGCAAAGAGTCAGCCCAATGACTACTCATCTTGATCATATTAAAGCAAAGTAATCTGGGTTTTAAAAAGTACTTTAATAGTCAACTGTCCAAACTCTGATTGACCTATATTGTTTTAGGTGAAAAAGAAAGTTAACGATTATGGATGTTATATTTGATCTTCTTCGCTATGAAGTGTTGGCTAAAAGGATTTTGAAAACAAACAGAATATAGAATTCTCTGTAGTAAGGGTTCCTAATAGTATTTCCCGATATAAAGAAAAATGCATTTAATGAAGCCGGAATAACTAGCTAAGTGAATAGCACCAGAACACAAATAACCCAAGTTAGGGGTGGGCAGAGTGGACGATGAACTTCCCTTCCATCATTTCACATTATAATGTTTGACTTCTTAAAAAGAAAATCAACAAGATACCCAGACATGCAAAATGTAGAGCAGAGCAAGTCTGCCTGAAGAAATAATGAGCATGCTCATTTGTGTTGATGTTTAGCGTTAAAATTAGAGTCATGGAACATTGATGCAAAAGCAGTCTCATAGACAGACCTTCATTTTCCATGTGAGAACTGCTAAATAAAACAAACTTGATCCTTTGTGCCATAACTTTAAAATTTATTTCCAGTTGCCTGATAAAGTTTCCCCCAAATTGGCTTCCCCTTGGGTCTGGTTCTTTCCATCAATACCAATTTTTATAGTAACATTTGTGGCTGGCAATTGGTGGTAATCTTAATTCCTCTTCCTCTCCTATTATTTACATAAAATACAACTTTAGACATGTTAAGCTACCACTCAAAAATCTCTAAATAGCCTGACTTAAAGTCCTATGTTCTTGGGAATTAGATATAAACTTGTCTTTTGAAACTTTTTTCTTATTCATTAAGTCATTGACTCATCAGTCAATTTTTTTCTACTGATATCTTGCCTATAGTCTGAATATTCCTGCTTTTGTGTCTCTGCTTAATTTCTTATCTGAGGAACTATTTCTTCCTCCTTCTACCTATCCAATTTCCATTTCCTTTGACGTCCTGTTCAAGCCTCTAATTTCTTTTACAAAGCTAGGAAGCTTGTCACAGCCCATAGTTATCCTTTTCTCCTCACAAATCCAAAAGCACTTCCCTCTGGTCATTTGGTTCTAATAGTACTGATTAGATAAAATGTACTGCTCAAATGCTTATCTTTTTCCCTTTTTATTTCTCCTTGAGGGACAGACAGCTTAACTATTAATATAACTTAAATAGTTTATATTATTTAAATATAAATATATTTATAGTAGGCACTCAAATATGTTATACTGATTAATCCCAAAGAGATGATAGAAAATTAAGATCTGTGAGGATCAATATTACAGTAATATTTCCCTTACTTTCCTTGCTAGTTGTCTAACAACACCAACTGTGTAGAACACAGATAAGAACCAAACAGAAGGAAAACAGGACTTCTAAAAAGCCAAATAAATTGTTCATTGCCCAAGCATTAACTCTCAGGCATTAAAAATCTAGACCTGTGATTAAAAGAACTGTTATCACTGAGGGAAAAGATTTTGTAATCCACGTGCATGAACACAACTTCTATTCTGGATGACAGTTAAGATTAGTACAAATCAAGTGTCCATAAGAAAGGATGCTGGAAAAACCAACCTGGGCTATTTAATTCTGGGCCTTTTAAAAGAGACTCCTACAGGAACTAAAGTAAATCCGGTGAAGGAAAACAAGGGTTGGAAATAATCTAGAAAGAAAAGCAGAATGCTTTTACAAAGCTTGAGGATGGAGAGAAAGACTCAGAGCATATAATTTGCCAACTTCAGATTCTTTTAAAGCTGCCATATAAAAGAAAGTGGAGGCCACAGGTAGGAGGTAATCGTTAGAGTAGAATGAGATGTCTAAAACAGTCTCCTGTCCCCGTGGCTGTTCAAGAAAAGATGGATAAATGGGCGCTTAAAGAGGAAAAACAGATCTCTAAACTTTTCAAGGCCAGACTCCCATGGGGTGAGTTGGGGAGGGGGTTTGTTGATAGGTCAGAGAAGAAAAGCAGAAGTGGACACAGGATTGCTTCCAGCCATCCCATATAGGTTCTCGGCCCTTTCCCTAGACCTACTGCATTCTTACTCATGCACTGAAATAAATATTCAATTTTTTGATAAAAAGTCAAGAATATAGCCTAACATGTTTTGTAAAGGAAAAAAAAATGGCCTGTGATTTGATGAGAAGGAACTTTTTGCGTGTAAGTTTCCACATAACTTTGTCAAATAGTTTCACTAATTCTGACTTGATATAAAAATATTTATAAATGTTAAACAAATATTTCTAGGAAAAGTTAAACAGATATATGGAGTTAACTGTTTATGCTACAAATTTTAGGGGTAGGCTGGAGAGTCAAATGTATCTGAATGTGCTGGGAAGGCAATTGAAAAGAGTGACAAAATGCCAAAGGTAAGTAGGAGTCCAGCGGGACAGTGAGAATAAACTTCTGCCCTTTTTCCATAGGCCAATAAACAGGAACCAGGATTATGTTTCTTCTTTGACTTACCCTGGTAGACACCAAGAATACTCAGAGGATTTGGACTTTCCACTTTTAATAATAGGAAAAAAATTCACTCATTGGAGGGCCAGGGGAAAGTGCTTTTAAAGGGGGCACTGACAGAGGCTTATCCCTGCTTCCAGCCGTGAAAACTGATTGATGGCTTTAAAGCAACTATATTTACTATTTGCCAAAGAAAGCAAAGGTGTTGTGAAAATTTTGTCAGGAAATTAACTTTAAATTTGGGGTGGGGTTATAAAAATGAATATACAATGAATGACAAATATCCTAAAATATTGAGATTTAGCCATTGGGAAAATGTTTTTATTTCTTTAAGGCTAACTAAACAAATCCTAACATTTGTCAAAACTTCCCCCAGAGGACTCTAAGATGGTTTTGTAATTGTTCTGAGTCAGGAATAGGTATAACTCTTGCTACTAAAATGTAACTAGCCATCCAAATGTATAGACACACTGTAAAACATTAATATTATGAAAAATATTGTTTCATTCATATAAAAACTGAGTATGAAACCACCCCTTAATGTGTATTAGATTACATTTACTGAAAAGTTTTTGATGTTAGGTACAAATGAGAACCAATGAAAATATGAAGAAAACCTGTTAAGACAAAAGACTCAAGAACTTTCAAAAGAAGTTAAGTTTTTTTGAATAATCCTTAAAATCTTGAACAGGCCATTAGTTCCCACAGTCCTCCACATGGTTTTCTTGGCAACAGAGAAAACCAGCCCTCTGCTTTCTTAGGGGAATGCAAATAATGATTTTTCTTCTATTTCCCTCCCATACTGTCCAGCATAAGAAATTATTTTAGATTTCTTTTGCTAGATCACTGCCATGTAAAACTGAAAAAAAGAGGCTCCTATCAAAAGAATGCATAACTGGTTAACCCACAAAAGAGACAAATGGAAAATGAATGGCTTACTCAAGTCCCCCCCCCAAAAAAAGATTATTCATGGAAATACTTAAGGATAGAAGAACAAATGAATAAACTACAAAAGGCAATTTCTATTTAAAACATCTCATAATTATTACTATATTAAACCTTTCTGTTTGAAACTATGCACTTGTCTCCTGAACAGATGCAATGAGCCTACAAATTGCTCAGAAAGAATGAGATTCTCTAGTCATTCCCTTAGTAAAATTTACCAATAACTGTATTTTCTTTGTCAACAAGCTAACAATATAAGGCACAAAGTGGAATAAGATACAGTTGGTTCCTTTCCTCACAATGTTTATTTTGAGGAGGGTAGTATGTGAACAAAAAACTATCATGACAACAGGGTCACAAAAATATGCATAAAATATTATGGGAAGAATCAGTTATTTATTTCCAGGGGTTCAGAAAGGCTTCACAAAGGAGTTCATATCATAGCTGGTTCTTAAATGGAAAAGGGGGGAAAAAAACACTTCAAGTAAAGCAAGTATTTATGCAAAGTATAAGACATGAAAAACATGTTTATTAAAGAACAGCCTGGCTCACACACCACTGAAAGATGTGTGCTGCACAGGTTACTAGCTAAAAACGCAACTGAGTTTATGAAGTCAGTTCCGAAAAGATGGAGAAATCCTTAATATAGAAGTAAAAAATGTTTCCTTTTGGTTAGAAATGATTTTAAACCTCTAAGAAAGAAAGAAGGGATTTTGCACATTTTCTATTCTCTTTCCACACAATTTTGAAATCATATTGCCTGAGAGAATGTAAATCAAAAAAGTTTTGAGATGCTTTAGGCTCAGAGGGAAAACTCCTAAGAAAGAGTTAAACTATGAATCTTCACTGAAGATATGGTAAGAAAGCTCAAGAACCCAGACTCAGTAGATAATTCTAGGACAGGCAAGATAGAGATGTGGGGTTACCACATTGAAGGGACAACTGTGTAACACATAGGGAGTATCAGGAAACCTAGATCCTACAACAGCCTTTAGCAATTCACCTGGTCTCAGGAATCTAGTCTATGAGACTGGGAGTTCCTCAGACTCTGTAAGGGGCAAAGTGGTCCTTCATTCCCAACTGCCTGTTGCTGTGAGGCCAGATTTTCTTCATATATTTCAACTGAACAACATATAAGAAAGCAGTGCAGAAGCAGATATGAGAATCCAGGATATTCTATTAAGCAGACAGTTGAGATATTTTTAAAAATGTAACATGATGTCACTATTGTCACTAGAAAAATAAAGGCCTTTTTTTTTTGGTTTAGAAAAACTTAGTTTCCATTAAAATTGTATTGTTTATCCTAACAAGTAATAAGATTAAAGTGAACTTTCTCAGTTTTAATTTCTAATATGGTAAATATTTTTTTTTAAATATGGTAAATGTTGACAGCTTAAAGCCAAATAAGCTAAAGCTCTTTGGGGTCTTCATTAAATTTTAGAAGGGTCCTGAAACAAAAAAATTTGAAAACAGTTACCTTAAGGCATCCACTGTATATAATACAGTACCTTCACTTTTATGCATCTAAAATGGGAGAATAAACAGTTACTCAAATCATTTTCTTTATTCTGTGGTTTAGATGAGAAACCACCATTAAGAGCTACATAGTATGGCATGTAATATGTACTCAATGAATAAGGGTAAATGACAGGATTCGTATGTGGATTAAGAGCAAGGTGGCTTCGAGTGCTTGGGAATAAATCAAATTTTTAAAATAGTAAACTGGCAAGATAAATTATATGACAGTATTGATATTTTTATTCTACCTCATATGTATACCTGAGAAATGTTGATTTTTTTTCTTAAAAATACAGTTTCTACAACATTTCCATTTAGACCACATAGACCAATCATTCACTCAAATATGCTCACCAACACCCAGCACCTGGTGCACACCTGTTCCAAATACTGGATAAGAAAAACCAATCTGGGCTAGGCACAGTGGTATATGCCTTTAAGTCCTAGCTACTTGGGAGGCAGAGGCAGGAGGCTTGCTTGAGTCCAGGAGTTCAAGATTAGCTTGGACAACACAGAGACCCTCATCTCTTATTTTAAAATTTTTTTTGTAGAAGAAAGAAAAATTAATCTTCTCTAGTACCACATTCATCTCATGGCTGCAGGGTGTTAGTGTCTGACCATTAACAGGCATAAAGTAACATTAAAAGATACAATGTACTCTTATAAAACTTTATTTAGGTCAAACAATGCATTTTTGCTATACTTACCGTATCCCAAATCTGAAGTTTTATCTGTTTCCCATCGATAGTTATCATTCGAGCACCAAATTCTACGCCTGAATAGAGTAGAAAATGATTTGTTATACAAACCAGTTGGCATATTCCAGGATTAAAAAACAAAATGTCTATTTTAGGACATGCTTTAATAAATATAGCACCTAGTCTTAGAAAATATATAAGCCAAGGCAAAGGTGCTAATAAGACATAAGCTAAGGGCATAATTAAAATACTGAAGTCTGGAATAGTTAGTAGTAAGAAATCAACTGTGGTGTCTTCATGTTTCACATGCTCAGTAACATAAAAATAACTAAGGAAAAGATCCAAGAGCCAAAATTATTAGTTACAAATAATAAATACTACAATTTCTTAAAACTATAACAATATAAAAATCACTAAATAGGACACATGAATTTCAACATCACAGTTTTGATTCCCAGCATTGACAACCAAGGAGAAAAGAAATCTCCGTATTAGCTTACTAGATATAACCACTGTTTAAACATACTTCCTGACAGTGCTCCACGAATAATAACACACATAAAAATAAGTACACAATTTTTAAAATGAGGACATATTAATGCTGTTCTGCAATTTGTTCTTTATCTAAAAATGTGTCATGGGCAGCACCTGTAGCTCAGTGAGTAGGGCGCCAGCCACATACACCAAAGCTGGCGGGTTCAAACTCAGCCCAGGCCAGCTAAACAACAATGATTGCTGTAGCAAAAAACAGTTGGGCACTGTGGCGGGCACCTGCAGGTTGAGCTACTAGGGAGGCTGAGGCAAGATAATCACTTAAGCCCAAGAGTCTGAGGTTGTGTGAGCTGTGATGCCACAGCACTCTACCCAGGGCGACAGCTTGAGGCTCTGTCTCAAAAAAAAAAAAAATTAAAAAAAAGAAAGTGTCATGGACATTATTCTACACAACAAACATTCTTACAAATTAATAAACATAAAACTACAGTATTATTTTTGAGGTCTATACAACATTACTTTGTGCATAGATAATTTACTAAATTGGTACTCTGTTTAGGCTTAGGTACAAATTTAGGCTGCTCCCATATTTTCAGTAAATAGTGAGTGCTGAAATGTATATGTAGCAAACATTTTTCAACTTACTTTAATTTTAGGCAAATTACAGGAAATAGGATTGCAGGTCAAAGGAAATACAGACTTTGTATTTGCAAGTTCACTACCTTGGCTTTTTAACTTAAATTTATTATCTCTTTGGAAAGTATTCAATTATCAAAATAGGAATGAAATACAGGGGATAATTTTAGAATAGCAAAGAGCTGTAAAGAGGCCTCTGAAAGTGTTGTATCACTCATACTAAATCACTGCTGACTGCAGTGTTCTATCAGTTTTTACATCATTCAGGATTAAGCGAAGAACACACACGATCCCCAGAAACTAGATGTCACCCTAGCAGATCAATAGCTTTTAGTTTCCCAGAAAAGCATGCACTGCCCAATGTTAGAATTCCATTTTAGTATATCCTATAATTCCTCCAGCTGTGATTAGGAGGTAAGAAAGAAAGGTAATTTGTCCTCACATGATATAAAACTTGATGGGGCTTTACATTTTAATACAGGCATGGTTAACACCAAGAAACTAAGGTGATGTTCATGTTTCTCAAGCTCAGAAATACAGGAAAGCTAGAAAAAATGAGACCCAGAAGTCTGCCATGCCCTCAAAAAAAGAAAATTGTAAAACTGTGCCACATACAACTGTCTCAGTGTTTATATATGTCTACATAGTTTATACCTGTTCTGTCCCCATGGAGTGGGGACAAAACCACTACCCATAATGACACAAAAATGAATGTAGTTGATGGAAGAAACCAGTTGTGAAGTATGATACAAATGTTCTTTGAAATATCTGGTATTTAACAGTAATATACTGAAGCATAAAATTCTACATGTATGCAAGATAACTGACACAGAGCAAGTCTTTTCATGAATCTGTTGCTTCTACCAGCAAACTAGGGGGAGAGAAAGAGAAATCCTATTTTTTTCTCCATTGTCATGGATGAGCTGGCTGTTAACCACAACCCCAAGCCATCTGTATCACCCACTGGGACATAATGTACCAAATTTAACAAAAAGCAACTATGAACTAGAAACATACACTGGAACACCTCTAATACCAAAAGTAGGCAGGCAAGGGCAAGCAGATGATCCTTTAGAGTTGACATCTTGAGCAGAGGAATAAAGACACTGAAACTTGTAGGTGACCATCCACCCTACAGACAAAAGGCTAACCAGATAGTCCCTACAGGGGACTGCTATTAGAATTCCTGCTTCCTGGCCTCTAAAATGCTTTACTCCTCTCTATTCCCAAGCCCTAAGTTTCCAACATCCTGTGAGTTGTACTCCGGATATTCTACCCCAGATAGTCTAGAAAATTCCCTTTTGCTTGACTTAGCCAAAATTGGATTTTGGTATGTTTATTTCTTTATTCAAAGTAAACAGAGCAAGGTTGATGAAACTTAAAGTCTTCAAAGCAAGATTTCATCTCTTTTTAAAAATATATACAATTTAAAATAAACCTGTCGGCTTGGTGCCTGTAGCTCAAGCAGCTAAGGCACCAGCCACATACACCAGAGCTGGTGGGTTTGAATCCAGCCCGGGCCTGCCAAACAATAATGCCTCCTTAAGCCCAGGAGTCGGAGGCTGCTGTGAGCTGTAACAGCTTGAGGCTCTGTCTCAAAAAATAAAATAAAATAAAATAAAATAAACCTGTCATATAAAAATCAAGAATGTTTCTCCCTTTTTTTTTTGTTTTTTTGAGACAGAGTCTCAAGCTGTAGCCCTGGGTACAGTGCTGTAGTGTCACAGCTCATAGCAACCTCAAACTCTTGGGCTTAAGCGATTCTCTTGCCTCAGCCTTCCTAGTAGCTTGGACTACAGGTGCCTGCCACAAAGTCCAGCCTATTTTTTTTGTTGCAGTTGTCATTGTTGTTTAGCTGGCCCAGGCCAGGTTTAAACCCGCCAGCCTCAGTGTATGTGGCTGGCGTCTTACCCACTGAGCTATGGGGGCCACCCAAGAATGTTTCCAAAGCAGGGAAATGTCATAATACAACCGATGCTTTAAATTCATGTAAGAATAGGGTCAGGACAGAGAATTAAAAAACAAGAAGAAATGAGGCACAAAATAAAGAATAGTGGTAGGAAAAAAAATTACATACATGTCCAAAGGAAAAACTGACAAGTGCTGTCAAATTATTAAAAAACAATTTTTGTTTTTCCATTAAATGAAACAAAAACAGACTTCAATTTGAGGTTCAGAAACATAATTATTTCTCATTTATCATCTTATGACTGAGTCCAGTATAGGTATATTCCATGTGGCAAAAGAAAATACTAAATCCTAATGTGTCCTGGAAATCTCAGAAATAAATACAAAAAACAAAACCTGAGTTCTCTTCTGGATTGCTAAAATTTTAAATCTTTTAAGTGTGTATACACTTGAGAATCTCATTTAGACAGGTTTTCTCATCTTTTGATATGAGACAAATCACCATTTCCTACGCCCTCAAGGATCTCTATTCCCAGATACATTTTCAAGTAATAGTGAATTGCCTGCAGAAGAAATTTTCAGTGAAGACCTCATTTATCTGACATTGTTAGGAGTGATGCTTATTTCTTTTAGATATGTTATTCATTTCTAATCTTCCACAAAAAAAAAATCTGAATGCAAGACACATTTTTCTAATTGTCTCCGAATCATTATTATCCTTCCATAGTAATTATATCATTTACTTAGCACTTGTTAATAGTACCTACTAGCATGACCCCATGTAAGTTATTAAACTCCCTTTTATGTCTTATATATATAGTTTCCTCATCTGTAAAATGATATTTGATGATTCCTGTCTCATGAGGTTTTTCTGAAGATTAAAAGAGTTATTACATGTAAAACAGAACACTGTCTGACACACATAATAAGTATCCAGGGTGTCAGCCATAGTTCCCATTATTCTATATTAGGCATCAGAATTTCTGAACTACCACCCACATGACTAATGACAACAGATCCTGGCAGAGAGGATTACCTGCCTAAGCCAAGGAGACTGTAGAGGTATAGAGATGTGCAGAAGGGCAGTCTTCTGTGTAATGTCAAGGCCAGAACCTCCAGGCTGCTGGGGCACACAGTGGGGATGTCAAAGTAGACTATAGAACTAGGTATCAAGCAAACAGCCAGGCATATCCCCCCTTAGATGGCATGAGTGTATACAGACTCCAATGTCCTATTCCTGGAACCCACACACTGCAGAGGTTCAAAATGGAGGCTTATGGGAAGATGGCCTGATTTTTCCTAACTCTAGAAATAAAGGAAAACCACATGCAAAAAGTAATGTCCTTAATTTTCTATGGGAAACAAAATAGCAAACACCACACTTCATGGTAAAAGAGTAGAAGAATTCAAATTACACTGAGAAAAATATTACAATGTCTTCAACTCAGAAATTAATCTAGAGGCCAGGAGCAGTGGCTCATGCCCAGTAATTTCAGTACTCTGGGAGGCCTAGGGAGGAGGACGGCTTGAGGTCAGGAGTTTCAGACCAGCCTGAATAAAGTGATAACCCATTTCTACTAAAACCTGAAAAATTAGCCGGGTGTGGTGGTGCATGCCTGTATTCTCAGCTATTCTGGAGGCTGAGGTAGGAGGCCCACTTGAGGCCACAAGTCTGAGGTTGCTATGAGCTAGGCTGAAGCCATATAACTCTAGCCAGAGTGACACATCTAGACTCTGCCTTGGGGAAAAAAAAAAAAAAAGAAAGAAATTATTCTAGAGATTTTGGTAAAAAATTAGAATAACAAACTAAGACATAAATATTAGCTAGGAAAAAAAACCATAATTTATAGATAAGACCAAACTGTCTACCTACCAGTGATTTTCAACTGGTATGCCCTGAGAGGACCATAGGTGAGCCTTGAAAATTTTTAAAGATTATTATTTTTGAAAGAAGTTCAAAGCACAGTAAGCATATCCCCATTTTTACTCTTCTTTTTTTTTTTTTTTTTTTAAAAGCAACATAATGGAAGCATGCCATGAA